CCAACAAATATTACGTCGCCTGCATAGAATAAGTGTGAGAGGGTAGGGCCCCCATTGGGGATTTGGACGCCTTTAAATAATTCTTTATCTTTGGCAGCCTCCAATGCCACGTTAAGACCTTCCATGACTATAATGAAGAGGCATGGTGAAAGCGGGTCACCTTGACGTACCCCTTTAGATATATTGAATTCGCTTGTTGGGGACCCATTCATGATCACAGAGGCATGGAATGAGTTCAAGCATCCTCTGATCCACGTGCGCCATTTAGACCCAAATCCCATCTGTGCGAGAATAGAATCGAAGTACTCCTAGTTTATTGAATAAAATCCTTTATTGAAATCCACCTTAAATAGTAGTATCCTCTTCTTCATTTTTTTCGCCCAAGAGTAGAGTTCGTTTATCACCAATAGTCCGTCTAATATATTCTTGCCTTATATGTATGTTGACTGTACATCTCCAATGACTCTACCAATAACTGTTTTGAGCCTTAATGCAAGCATCTTGGAGATTATCTTGTACATACACCCAATTAGGCTGATGGGACGATAGTCAGAGAGTGAGGAGGGGTCTTTAACTTTAGCTACAAGTGTGATGAAGGATGAGTTGCACCCCCACGCTAGGGTACCAAACTTGTCAAAGTGTAGCACATAATCATCATATCGTCTTTGAGTGTATCCCAATAGGTTTTGATGAATTTAAAAGTAAATCCATCAGGACCAAGGGGCTTGTCACCTCCACATGCCCAAACCAGATATTTTATTTCCTCTAATGTGAAGAAGGCTTCAAGTTTGATGGCTTCCATCATATAAATGGATTTGAGATAGGGCTGATGAGTTTAGGCCTCAGGATCAAAGATTCAGTAAACTTACCCTTAAAAAATCTTAATGCTTCATCTTTTACTTCTTCTACAGATGACACCCATTTACCATTCACCATTAACCCATGGATTGTGTTCCTCCTATGCTTACTATTTATGTGCCCATGAGAGAATTTTGTACTTTCGTCGCCCTCCACAATCCATTTGATCCTTGATTTTTGCTTTAAGTCTAACACCGCAAGCTTTTCTAGCTCAAGAATTCGTTGAAGTCCCTCACTGCGAATATTAAGTTACGTATCTATGAGCAACCTTGACTCCGCCAATGTCTCAAGTTGTAAGACCTTATCTTTAATCTGTGCTAGCTCAAGTTTTTCTGTATTATTAGTCCTCCTCTTCCATTTTTTGATCTCCTCTTTAAGGTATTTGAGTTTTGCAGCTAGATATGCATCTGGCATCCCATAACCAACAAAATTTTCCCATGCTTCCTTAACAGTGTTATCGAAACCATCTTCTAGTAGCCATGAGTTAAATAATTTGAATGGATGAGGGCCATAATTAGTTTCTCCGGAGGAGAGTGTAACTGGACTATGATCAGATAGCTCCTGGGGGTGTGCAGTGACAACCAATGAAGGGAAAGCTGCAAGATAATTAGCGCACACAAGGAACCTATCGAGCTTACTCAATTTGGCTCCTACTCTAGACATAAAAGTGAATCGTTCCCCACCCATGTTGAAATCATGAAGATCTGCCTCTTGTATGAACCTATTAAACGCAAATGCACTATCCTGATAGAAATTAGAGTTGAATCTCTCCTCCGGTCTTCTAACTACGTTAAAGTCGCCAAATAGATCCAGTTACCTGGAATCGATCTTCTTATCACTAACAATTCGCTCCATAATTTCTTCTACTCATTGATATCATGTGGCCCATATATGGTATCCTCATTGATTCCAATCCACTTACTTATGACAATGAGGTAATTGCGTGATTTAATTACTTCTTTTTTTAAAACACTTGTTACTCCATATTGATAACAACCCTCCTGATCTTCCATTCGAGTTCAGTCCTTCAAACTTGAAGTCTTGATCACCCCAACAACTCAACACGTCAATTTTTTCATGGTTATGCAGCCGCATTTCTTGAATCCCTAGGAAGTTAACTTTGTGCAGGTTCTTTAACCTCCTAACCCTGTTGATTTTTACATCCACTCTGATTCCTCTGACATTTAAGGATAAGCAATGTTGAGTATTGTTGAGAGTTGTCATTTTTATATAAACAAGAGTTATAGTTAAATATAACTAATATTGATGTTAAAAACAGTAATGAATATAATTGAATATGATGTTAATAATTGAGAGTTTTGATGGAGTATATATAGTTGAATATAACTAATATCATTGTTAATAACAATTATATCTTAATATAGTTGATATCATTGATAATAGCATAAAAGTAGAAGCTAAATATAGTTAAATAGTTATATATGAATAACGGGCTTAGCTGAGTAATCGATGTTGAATTTTAAAATCTGAACATAATGCGGTGAGTTATAGGATATTTATCATATATGTCACTATTTTTGTGAAATGTGGTAAGTTGTTATAGCTATTTGTTTCAGCATAATGTAGATAACTATAATAGTTGATAAACTCCAGTTAATTGTTGTTAAAGGAATATGATAACCACAAAACAAGTATAAATAACCATATAACGAGTACCGTGTGGTAATGTTTAATGATTATGAATAACTATATAAAGAGAACCTTTTGGTAATAATTAAGGAGTACATTGATCACATAACAAGTGCCTAGTGGTAATATAAATTATTGTCATCTGAAATTGTGGCTTGAAAAAACGTAAAAATATTGGCGTCATTGTTAGTTGAGATGGTGGTTTGAGTAGTCGTAAAACTATATTTAGTCGTTTTGTAGTTAAAATGTTGTACGCGAGTGATATAGATTGCCAATAGTTGTTAAAAAGCGGTGAACTCATTATTGGGTGAACGTGTGTTTAAACGGATTTTGGGTTATTATTAAATTATCTGAAATGCATAATCTGATTAATTTGTGTTTTGATGTTGTGATTAAAGATAACTGATATTGTATTTGTATGTCGAGTAGGTTACTCATTATGATCTTATATCTTAGCTTTTGTTGTTGTATGCATTTTAGGTTCATGCAGTCTTATTAACAAAGTGGATATTTGTAGCTGAGGGATGGTAATGTATGGATCGGATCATTGTATTGTTTTATCATTCGATTCTTTATGATAACTCCTTGCATTCAACTAGTTACCATAAATGTACACCGAGTTATTTTATAAATTAAAAAGTGCAAAAAGTTTTGTTATACTTTGTGTTAAAAAGTCAGGTGTTACATCATATGTTAGAATATGAGTCACAATCCCAAGATTATGTTTCTTTAAGTTGTGAAAATAAATTGAAAGCTTTAAAAATGTTTCTTATGTGGACCCTTTAATTAATTCGACGACATATTGTTTCACACATCATGCATGTTTATAAATGATATCAAGATTGTACATCGAATTAAAATCTCGAACTATATCATTCCCCTTGTAAACTCTGCCATGATTGTTACTCATTACCCATTGTATTATAGTTTCCAACACTTTCTTATTCACTTGTTTATGATTGGTGTGTACTTGTGTTGATGAATATGTATGTATGTCATTAAATTTCTTAACTTGGAAAACTCATTTTCCTTAACCCTAGTCACATATAAACACCAACTATAACCTGTTTGTTTTAAACAAAAAACCTCATACTGATCTTTTGTTGATTTTTGTGTTTTCATTTGAAATCCTTCTTCAACACGTTCTAATCGAAAGACTAGTTTATAATTTTTTTTTTAAGGTTTGACATTGTTTAATTTATGGGTAGATCTTTGATTGTGAGATCATGTATAAGCATTAACCGAATCTGGATATATCAGTATGGGAGGCATACCTAGGACAACATTTGAGTTTTGTATTGGTTTGTAAATTCATCCTATGGCCAACCTTTTTTCATACTCAATAGATCATTCATCGCCATTTATTTCTTTAAAAAATTTGAGTGGTATTCCATAATAAAATAAATTATTTTCCTAAACAACAGTAAGAGCAATCGTTTTATCTCTTTAACCACATGTACCTTTATAATCATCTTCAACACCATAATCAACACAATCATCAACGTTTGCTAAATCATTGTCTATAGCTTTCAGTGGACTATTATATATATTGTTTTCGGGAAATGAAGCACTAATAAACAAGGTCACTATATTGTTGCTTCCTCTAGATCCCCTTGCACCAGACCTTCTTGCAATCTTGAGTTTTTTTTCCAGCATTTGATAAAGCCCAACATTTAACCGATTCACTACTATTTGTTCTTGAACTTCGATCACCAACCAACACCATATACATATGCACAACATTGTCCATATTACAATTTACACTTTTCGAATTTATTATGGACTACATCCATAATATACTCATACACTAGATGTTACAAAGATAATTTAATATTACTATTATATGTATAGTTTGTCTTTGCTTTAACCAATTCTATATGCCTCTCATATTTAATATGTCAAAATATGTATAGAGAAGTTTGTAACAAATGTCATAACATATGTGTTTTCTTTATTTACTGTTTGCCAAGACTCTCCCTTACATATAATAACAAAAAAAATCATTCATTTTTCTGAAAAAGAAAAATGGAATTTATTAGATTTTCTGAAATTGTTTTTTTTTTATAATTATCATTTTATATGAGAAAAAAAGTCATAATTGTTATAGTACAGATTTCTCATAAACATTTTATATTTTATGTTGATTGTGCAATGCAATTCGAATACAAAGTCCGCAATATGGAATCTGCGTAGTCATTCTTATATTTTGCTTTTGTCGGTTTGTGGAGTGGATATTCATAACTTAGCTCACAAAGAAGCCTATATATGTACTTGTTCTTTTGTGAATTGAAACTAAAATGAAAATTTTGGACCTTTTATATAAAAGATGTTGAGTCCCTTAACTTTTTACTATAATAATATTTTTAGTTGGATATAAACTTTATAAATAAAATATAGGTATTTTATTTTATTATAACTAAGGTGTAAAATTAAATTTAAAAGAAAAAAAAATCAAAATTTAAAAACGAAAGTTGAAAGGTTGTTTTGAAACTTACGAATTTTATATACGTTGGTGGGATCCAATTTTAAAATAACCTCATTTTTACCAATAAGTTTAAAACGTCCTTACTAATACAAAGGTTTCGTGGTCCTATTTATGCAAAAATAGAAAGCGTCCTAGTGTGTAATTCGAAATAACAAGGTTGAAAATCATCTCCCTCCTATGCTTAAGCGTTTAACCATCGGATCAACCATGTTTTATGCGAATTCTAGTTCAAGATTCATGTAAAGCGGAAAGTATCGTCCAGAAGGTAAACCACGACCAAAGAAAGTGGATAGAGGGGGAATGCGATGAACAATGTCCACATTGGAAACTTGGATCTGAAACTTGCAAGAAGCCCAATTATGACGCAAACGATTATCACAACCAGAATCTCAGCTGAGAAATGCCATGTCAAGCCCCGAAAGTATATAACCGAGACAAGAACACAAAAGCCAAGGATGTTGTTCATGAAAACTTTGTGGTATATCTGTATTTTACACAACATGTAAATTATGAGCTAGGTATAAATATAATGCTATAAAAAAGGTGGTGTTAAATGGACCCATTTAAGATCACCCTATAAAGAAACCAAATCAAGGGAGAGACTAACCTCAGAGAAAGTTAAAGATGTTGTTAGATGTCTTTTCTGACTCGCAGCTCTAATCGCTGCAATGGCTGTTCTAGCATTTGTAGCCAATGGTACTAAGATGAAAGATACATAAAAAGCCTCTATCTTTATAGATTCTGAAAACTTTCGGACACTTTCTACCAAAGGCTCAGCCAAGACTGTTAGCATAAAGATTCCAATGATCAAAAGTGCTATTGCCTTAAACTTCTCGTTTGCTTTCGCCTTTGCCTCCTCACGTTGGTACCTATCTTTTTCCTGCATCAAGTACATAATTAATTAACACTTGAATACGAAATGAACTAACTTTCATGAATAATTGCTCATGTAAATTCTTACTAAAAGATATATGTGGACTCTTATATTAACACTCTAGTGAGAGAGAGGAGACTCACGATGTATATAGACAAAAGTGATATGAGATACAATAACACTTACTAGGTTCTTATTACGTGACTGCTTTTTTTGGTTACGTGAAGCTACATGATCCATCTCTTTGAGCCATTTTGTAACCCCAGATTGGAATTCTTGTTTATCGATGTTACCATTTCCATCAATGTCCAAATGTCTCATTATGATCTCAGCTATCTCGTCATCCATCAGTATCTCCTCGTAGTTCATTTCCATAATAAAGTTTTTCAGTTCATCCCGTGTGATAAATCCATCGTGATTGGTATCAATGCGTTCATAGAATCTGAATTAAAGTTCAACATAAAGTTACTAAGACTATATTTCGGATCATATATAGTACTCTTCTCAGATTTACATATGAATATGTAGCTTTAACTGATCACCTAGCTATTGCCGATTCATCTCGTCCTCCATCTTCTTTAAGTAATTTCTGTCCCGAAGCACGTTCCATCATAATGGATATTAGCTCTATCAATTTGTTTTTATCTTCAAGCAACAATTCCGCAACCTGAAAGATCAGTTAAGTATAGCTCAATTACTCAAACTAGTTTACATCGAAGATCATATATCAAGCAAACGGATACTTGTTTATCATGTAATGCTCACCTGATTGTACTCTGACCCTGATTTATCCAACGAATGTGGATCATCCATCAATTGTCTCGTAACATCAAGCCAATCTTCAAACGTGCTATAGAATTCATCCCTTGTCATTGTTATTTTCCCACTCGCATCAGGATATTTCATCATTTTCTCCATTTCCTTTTGCCTAAGCATGAGATGCTTCTCTCTATCGAGCATAAGTGCTTGTACTTCATAGAAAGGTACTTGCAACTCAACTTTTCTTTCAACTTCTGCATACTCGAGTCTTCTTGTCTGAATCCGGGAATCAAAAAGCTGCAAAACAAAAATCAAGAATCAAGATTCAAGAATAGCTTAGAGATCTCGTGATATGATCGATATACATTTTGAAACTGTTTTGTAAAGGAAACCGATGTATATATACCTGATAGATGAAGTATGAGAATAAGCAAACAACTGCGACACAAAGTGACACAAGAACAACAATCCTGTATCCTCCACCAGAATACGATAAACCAAACACACTCGGTAATAGCATGACTACAAATGGTATCAATGAAAAAAACATAACTTTCGCATGATAACTCGTTTCTGCATCTGTAACAACACCAGAACCTGTAAAACATGTCAAACGATCATTATAAATATTCTATGAGTATTTTAAAGATCAAAACTATAAATAGAAACGATAAATGCAAACCTGTTAATAGTTGCATAACTTTATTTTTCACTTTAGAACCGGGTTTTACATAGAATTTTGTTCTACCACATATGAAGCATACTCCCCATAGAAGAGTGAGAAGCATCACTGAAGATCCAGCTAACAATCCAGCACCCGTTACAACATATTCTTGAGCTTTTTCTTTACTACTCGAGAGTCCAGATGCTGCGATCAAACAATCAAAAGTGTAAATATGTAAAATTCTTGGAATTCATCGATGTTTGAATTCCAACAACCCAAAATTCTTTTCATAAATAATAGAATCTTGGATACAATCAGGAGCTTAAAATGAGCAATAGTTTACACAAAAACTTAACCCGTTCAAAAATCATCTTCATAACTTCAAATATAACCAAAGCTACTTCGATTTCGACTTTTAAGCAATTAAATTTGAGAGTAACAACATAAGGGAATCTACCAAGAAGGATTAAAGAATCCGGGAGGGAATCAAGAAGCTGGAAAACACTTGCACCAAAGAAGTTATTCCCAAGAACACCGAAAATCCTTCCATCGCCACCAGCATAGGATTCGCCATGATATAACAGGTACTCGTATACCACAATAAGAAACAAATGACCTGGAAGATTCCTTGAACATGGCAGAAATCCATACATCTGCTCACAATACTCCTCAGAGTCACTAAATCCCAAGAATCGAAGAAAGAAAGATTGTTCATGTTTATCTCCATGGTTGTGGACACCATCAGAAACTTGCTCACCATCATCATATTGTAAAAACCGACCTGTTACACTCCAAACTAAAAAGCAAAAAAAGAAAGCAAAAGAACATGCAGTTGTTGAAACTTTCTTCATTTGAAAAATAGCGATTGGGTTGATGGAATTTGCATATAAAAACGTATGGATTATGTAAATGTAGAAGGAGAGGTGTAAGTAAGTGGAGGAGGATAAGGAGAGTTTACTTTGCCACTTCTTTTTGTATATTGTGTAATATATATATATATATATATATATATATATATATATATATATATATATATAAAAAGGAGAGAGCAAAAATCTAGCAAGCTGATTCCTCGTTTTATTAAAATATAATGTTTTTTTTTTTTATATTCTATATCTAAACAACATGAGTCATTTGCAATAAAATATACTAAACACGTTTTTCATGTCCTTGCTAGTTGCTAGTACTTGTACTTAATTTTTTTCACGTAGTTTCCTTACACAGACAATGACCAAACGCTGGTGTACTTCAACAGTCATGCATAATTGCATATGGTTGAATATTTTATGGAATCTTAAATGTTCATGTGAGGAATTCCACAAAGGTTGTGGATACTCAAATTCTAATTAACATTTCTCAAAATATTATTAATGTTTGATAATTTACCTGCTGTCATGTGATGGGTTTTGAGACAGTTTGAAGTGAGTTGTATACGGTTACCATTTTTGCAGAAGAGGAATCAGTTATAAACATAGAGAAAAGAATTTTAATTTATATGAGCTTAATTTACGAAAAATGTGACAAACATCTTATAATAACCATCAAGCCCAAATTCTGTCACTTAAAGCTCAAAGTTAAACAATTTTAATGTTTTTAAGAACTTTCAATATTCGTTTATTTCCATTCTCTAGGCAAAGCTCAAAATCAATCATGTGAGCTCCAAATGCAGATATTTAGGTTTTTTCATAAAACGTGGTTTCAATTATTTCATTTTCTCGGTACATAACATAAAAAGCAATGACTTCTATTTTAGGTAACGTTTATCGGTTATTTAAAAATGAATCTAAAATCTAGAATTCTGATCGAATGTTTCGAAAATAATGTGATTGTTGGTACCAAAAAAAAAAAAAAAAAAAAAACGTTGTACTATTAAGAGTCGTTGTCAAGTTCTTGTGAGTGGCTAATCGTTCATAGCAAAGGACCTACGTAACCATTATTTGGCATATATTAACAAAAAATTTAGGACCATTCATCCGTTTATATAAAATACAAAGTTGATATTTTTATGTAATACACATATATAGTATCAACTTTGAAGAAAAAGAAAATTCATCAAAACTCTTTACTCGTTTTAGTTTTGAATTATGAAATAAAGTTGGTGGGTTGGCCTCAATGCCTGGCCATTAGGCCCAATGGCCCATAATTTATAATGTAGGCCAGATATGCACATTGAAACTGGTTTTAAGACCACCTCACATAAATAACCATATATACTTATATTAGTTATATAGCCATTGGCCCATTGCAATTTGCAACAAGCCTTCAAGATCGGGTCAAATCATACTTGAGCTTTTACTTGGTTTCTCCAATCTCCAATTCTCCATATGAAATTAGTGATTATCGTCGGCTCTTTAAATACACTAGGTGTGAGCCACCACATGGATTTATTAAAAACAAAAATTTAATAAAAAATTATAAAAATTACGTATTTTTTAAAGTAATGTTTTAATATAAATATATACGAATAAAATAAGTTTTATTCAATAAATACTGATCAAAAATATTCAAATTTTAAAAAATTTGTGATATAATGATTTAAGATTTAATTCTAGGAGAACTAAAATATAAAGGAAAGAATACGGTGTATTTTTTATTAAATTTAATAGAATGATCTACCTTACGTATATAAACATGCAAAATGTAAATTTTAAATTTAAAAAAAAATAAAAAACACAAGAAAATGACAAATGAAAAAATATAATTTAAAAAATCTTAAAAAATAACATGTGTCAAAATTAAATGAGACATGACATTTGACAAAAATTATTTTCATTTATTAGGTTAGATTCATTGATGAATAAAGCTTCCAAAACCCATTTTCAAGAATTAAAATCCATCAAAACATACAATAATAATAAAACTCCTTTATTAATTATTGGATAAATATTTTTATTTAATTTTTTCATCTAACAAATAAAATAGTAATCTTCAAATATGGTCATTGTGGTTTTTCAAAATATCAAATTTAGTCTCTAATTTTTTCGATTTCATAAAAGGTCCCTATGGTTTCAATTTTTATCGTGGTTGGTCCCTCGTCAATATAAATTGACATTTATACTTTGTTTAATTTCTCTTAGCTTTTTCTTTTATCTAAATCTATTTAAAAAAGAAAAAGAAAATAAATAACAACCTCAACCCTTTTCAGGAGTTGCTTCCTATTCTCCAAAACCTTTGTCGTTGCATCTATTCCTCCAACACAACTGGTGACCTCCTCTTCTCTCCATCGCTCTTATCGCCTCTCCTATTCTCTTCATGTCAATTGGAGCCACCCCTAGTTTCCATCTACTTCAATCGGAGCTAACAGTTCAACACCCACCAATCGAGATCTCCTCACTATCGTCGATGACCCATGATGTCAGGGTGGTTTCCACCTTCATAGCCGGTGAATCAAATTTTCCCCAAAATACAACCTCTGTATCGTCGATGACTTAGATTGTTGTTGTCGATCCAATGGCCACTTGGTTGAGGGATCTATAATTTTGATGTAAGGACTCGTTAGATTTATGGATGTTCTTCTGCTTATATTTCTGGCGAGATCATGTGGAAAGTGATCAGAATTTTCTTCTGATTTTTGGTTACTACCGTTCTTGCAACCATGAGTTTGCGACTATGGTGATTTAATCCTCTTTGTTTTGATTGTTTTACAAATCCGAGTCTCATCAATTAGATGAATATAGGTGAGGGGGAGGTTATGGTTGTCGGCAATGGCATTGGAGATTATGGCAGCCAGTATGTATCAGCTTCAAAGTTATCAACATGATTGTGGGTTTGGTCATTTGATGCTCTAAATTTCTGGTTAGTTTTTGAAGCTCTAAGTTTATGAATTTTGTTCATTTAATACTGAAGGCAGTAGCAAGAACGTATATGGTGGTGGTGGTCGGTGATGGAAGAAGAGATGGAAAAGGGTGGATGGTGATGGTGTTTAAAACTTTGAAGATGACAGAAAATAATGGTGGTGGTAGACTGTAGGGGTTGTTGGGTTTTTATTTAAAAATAGTACACTTTTAGTGACAAAATTGATGTAATTAACAACGAAAACATTTTTAGATTTGAATAAAATAAAACATTTTTAACCACCAATGATCATTTTGCAAGACTTAGAAGTATTAAAACATAACCAAAGAAAAGATGAAGTTTACAACCGTTGAAGACTTTGGTTCCATTTGGATATTAGGAAGTTAATGATGATGACATTATAACTCCAAAAAGAGGCATTCTACAATGTATCCAACAAAGAAAAAATATGTTAGAATAAGTGTCCAAAATCATAACTAAATTGGTCAAGGTCATGACTAAATTGATATAACTTTATGCAATAAAAGTAAAGTCCTTTTGGGTTGCCCTCAAAAGCTAGAAATAGCTTTAAATGACTTTAGGATAGAAGGAGATATAAAATGAATTGTTAATTTATTATGATATTAATAATTAATTAGAAATAGATGGGATTAGTTAAATATTAATCATAATTAATATGAGATTAATTGGAATTAATTAAATGCGCAAGGGGTGAATTATAATTGTTTAATAGTTGAATAAAAGAGGAAATTATAGAACCATCCAAGTCATGGACAGTTTTAAGGATCTTGCGAGGGTTTTTGGAAGCCTCCTAGTAGCAGATAAGAAAAGGATTTGAATTGGAGATTAAATTTATTATTTAATTATTCAAATTTGGATTCATCTGCAAGTTACCTAGACTATAAATAAGACCTTAGGCGTCATACTTTCGTGACTTCTCATACATAGAAGGTGGAGAACAAAATTCTCCCTTTCCACCTCTCTCCTATTGTCTTTCTAGTGTTTTAGGGTTTGGATGTGAACCATTAGAGGTGTGCATACTTTTGGTTATTGCTTTCCATGGAGCATTTGGAACTCAAAAGATTAACATATTTGATTATGTTAAAGGTATGTGTTTCTTACTATTAATTTCGGTTATAGTAGGTTAAAAGTTTTGTTTCAAAAAGTATGTTGCTATCAATAGTAGAAAGCCATAGATCTTGTTTAGGTTGCATGTATATTTAAGTGTTAAGTAAAATTTCGCATGTACAATGTAATTGTAACCTAAAAACCTTAATAGTGGTATCACATCCATGCTTGTTCAGTTATCATTGTATAAAGATTAAACTTGAAAACGACAAAAAAAAAAAAAAAAAAAAAAAAAAAAAAAAACATGTTATTCGCAGGGCGCGGCGCGACGCGTCTTCTGAGTAATTCGAAGTTTCGAGATTTGCTTTCTTAATTCAAATTGTAGGTTAATTATTATTCATTATTTGTTATTTTATCTAATTAAAATTTGAACTATTAATGCTAGATAATTATGAAACCCTAATTCGAATTTTGAGGAAGTAATATAAAAGGAAACAAACTATTTAATTATAAGATAATTAAATGGAACTGAATTATCCTTAAAAAGAATTTAATATATTTAACTAATGATCTAATTAAAAGATAGATATTAAATTCATAATTGGTTTAAAAGATTAATTAATTAAATGTTAGTTCAAATAATTAAATTTAAACCTTGTGTTTTGAAAAGTCTTAAAATACACCTTATACATATATAAGAGTATAATACTACATGTATAACTAAAAGGCCAGTCGAATCGTTAGTAGATCTCATTCTTGAATTCAGGATATAAGAGAGGTATAAGGAAACAGTCGATAAAATGATTGTTGTCCTTTTCACCCACCACTTCTTTGTGTGGTGGATGATCGTTAGCCGAACGGATTTGATAGGACATAATCACATTAAAAGTATAATGTATAAAGTACTAGAACCTTCTATACAATCTCACTCTAGTTACTTTAGGAAACATGTGAAATTGTATGCTAATCCATGAAAACGCACATTATTTCTTTGTGTGTCGTTAGTGGAACATGTGTGGTTAACTGTCATACTAATGTGGGACTACAAAGTCAAAATGATGGTATATTCTCAAAATTTATGATTGTTGATGGAGCGTGTGTGGTTAACCGT